CCGGTACACTAGCAATAAAAAATATTTTAGTGATGCCGATGCTTTGGAACTTCAAATATCAAATTTGAAACAATTCCGGTGAAGAATGTCGCTAAAATCATCAAAATACCGCATATCATGAGGTACCGTTATATGGGGGCTATATGACGTCGTGGCCCGGCACAGCTGTAGTATCCCTTTCGAACTTCAAATACCAAATTTGAAACAATTCTGGTGAATAATGTCGCTAAAATCATCAAAATACCGAATATTGGAAGGTACCGTTATATGAGGGCTATACGAAGACGTGGACCTGCACAGTATTTTTTCTGTCTTAAGCTTTACTATCCCTTTGGAACTTCAAATATCAAATTTAAAACAATTTCGGTGAATAATGTCACTAAAATTATCAAAATATCGAATATAGGGAGGTACAGTTATATGGGGGTTATACGAAGACGTGGACTTGCACAGACAATTTTCTGTCATAGGCTGGAGTATCCATTACGAACTTCAAATAACAAATTTGAGACAATTCCGGTGAAAAATGTCGCTAAAATCATTAAAATACCGAATATCGGGAGGTACCGTTATATGGGGGCTATACGAAAACGTGGACCTACATGACCCGTTTACGAACTTACTGCATACTGAAAAAAATAAACACCTGTGCAAAATTTTTGCTTTCTATCTCCATTCGTTCGAAAGATAGCGTGATTACAACAGACAGATGGACATCGCTAAATCGACTTAGTATTTTACGCTGATCAAGAATATATATACTTTGTTGGGTCTGACATGAGTATTTCGAGGAGTTACAAACGGAATGACAAAGTTAATATACCCTCCATAGTATGTTGGATGGTATAAGAAAACAAGTAAAAAAACATTAAGTTCGGCCGGGCCGAACTTTTAATACCCTCCACCTTAGGGCAATGGAAACATTAGAACCAATTATGACCCACTTATGCCAAATTTTAGAGGTATTCGTGGGAAAATGTGGCAAAAATCATAAAAATACCGAATATGTGAAATACCGTGATATGGGGGAAATGCATTACACATGCAATGTTTCCTCACACGAACTGGGACACACTATGACCTACAAATGCCAAATTTCAGACAAATCCGTGAAAAAATGTGGAAAAAATCGTCAAAATACCTAATATCGGGAGGTACCGTTATATGGAGATTATACCAAAACGTGGTCCGATATATGTCATTTTCAATATCAACAATCCTAGACACAATACAAATTGTTCTGCTCAATTTTGACGCTCTGCGTCAAACAATGTGGCCTGTATCGTGATTTCAACAGACAGACAGATGGACAAACAGACAGTCAGACGGACATCGTTAAATCGGCTTAGAAGTTTATGCTGATTATGAATATATATACATTATGGGGTCTACGACGAATATTTAGGGATGTTACAGCGGAATGACATAGTTAATATTCCCTCCTTTCCAAGTTGGAGTGTATAACAAGTTAAAAAGCTATAAGTTCGGCCGGGCCGAACTTTGAATGCTCTCCACAATTTGAAAATAAAATCTTCAAAAATTCTGTTAAAATTTTAAAAATACCGAATATATCCGTAATACCGAATATATACGACCTGTAGGTCCATGTCCATTCGTTGGCATTGTTTGTCATAAATCATTACCATATGCAAATTCGAAACTTGAAATAAACGGTGAATAATGTAGCTAAAATCATCAAAATATCATATATAGGGAGATACCCTTATATCGGAGTTGTGCGAAGACCTAGATCAGCATTGACGATTTTCTGTCATAGGCTGTAGCATCCATTACGAACTTCAAATACGACATCTGTGGGTAATGTACCTAAACTCGTCAAAATACCGAATATAGGGAGGTACTGGTATATGGGGCCTATACGAAGACTGCATAGACAATTTTCTGTCACAGACTGTAGTTTCCATTAAGAACTCTAAATACGTAAGTTGAAACAATTCCGGTGAATAATGAAGCTAAAATCATCAAAATACCGAATATCGGGAGGTACCGTTATATAGGGGCTATATATATATGGCCCATTTACGAACTTAACCTGCCTACTGGCAAAATAAACATGTGTGCAATTTTAGCCTTCTATCTCAATTCGTGCAAAAGATAGCGTGATTACAACAGACAGACGGACAGACAGATAGACGGACATCGCTAATTCGACTTGGAATTTTACACTGATCAAGAATATGTGTACTTTGTTGAGTCTGACATGAGTATTTCGAGGAGTTACAAACGGAATGACAAAGTTATTATACCCTCCATAGTGAGCAATAACCGTAAAATCGGATAAAGATGCATATCGAAGCGATCTCAATAAAATTTGGCAGAGTTATTTTCGAGCAGTATCTGATGTCCGGTATCAAATATTATTGTTGTGGAATGCATATTACGCATGTGAAGAACTTTAAATACCGAATCGGATGAAACATATGTATTGGGGCTATTGCTATATCTGAACCGATTTTCACCAAAACTTGAAGCACTTGATTCTTGACTGAATCCCGTCGAATGTGCCAGAATTCAGTTCATTTGGACTCATTTTCGACCGATTTCGTTTATTTGATGCCTCTAGCATGATTTGTTTGTTCGATTGCAATGAAATTTCAAATGTGTGACGGGATTTGTTCAGAAAATAAGTATGTCAAATTTTATTGAAATCGGTTCAGATTTGTATATAGCTCTCATATATATTAGGGCCGATTTCACATAGTTGATGCACCAAACACGATACGAATGTCTGATTCCAATGAAATTCGACATGAGTGAATACATTTGGTACAAAAATAAATTTGCTAAATTATATTGAAATCGGTTTAAGTTTGGGTATATCTCCCATATATATTTTTTCCCCCGATCACATGTATGATATGTTCCAAACAATAATTAATTTGTCAAATTAATTAGAAATCGGTTAAGATTTGGATATAGCAACATCCTAATCTGATCCGATCTCGATTAAATTTGACAGAGGTATTTTTGAGCCCGACATGCATAAAACGACTTAGAAGGTGGTTCTATGAGAATTCTCAGAAGTAACTATAGGTCTATCACGCTTCCTTCTCCCTGTTACAAAAAAAAATGAACAAAAACATAACTTATGCGCTGAAGAATATGACAAAAAAAAATAAATATATCAGAAAATATTTATTAGCATCTTTTTATTATTTTCTGCCTAAAGGCCTTTCTGAATTGGTAAAAATCCGTCAAGCCGATCTTTAGTTGTAAGCGGTCTAACTAACATTACCTTCCTTGAAATATGAGATTGTATATATTTTTTTCTATTAACATTGTCGTGTATTTGCGATTTCACTGGAATTAAAAATATTGTCGGTTTAATAAAAATGTTTGTATCTTTTTGTATAAAAGGTATAGTCTATTTCATCCGATAAATCTTATTCGACGACCATCGAAATTTCTAGGTTTCTGCCCAGACCTGGACTCTGGCCCAATGCAAAATTGGTCTATAATGGTGACCTCTAGAGCAGCTGCAGAATCAAGAATTTTTTCAGTTTTTGTCTATTTGAACCCCTAAATATTTTGCGATCATCTCCAAATCCTTAAACCCATTTCCAAATCGTACTGAAAAACCTGTAACGTGATTACAATTTAAAAGGCGGACTGAAGGTCATACTTAGCTGGATCGACTCAGTTCGGCAAGATAAGAAATTACATAATTTTCGGCCAATAAATGTACAGGGTCAGATGAAAAAACTGCAACCAAATTCATTTCTAAGCCACTGTAGGCGACAGCTGTTAAAATTATTCCAGTGACAGCTCATTATATTGTTTACAAGCTTACAAAAGAATTTTGGTGAGAGTTTTCCAGAAAAAAAGTTATTCGTGATGGAATTCAAGCGTGAATTATATTTGGCTGGAAAACCACAATTGGCTATCGTTAGAGCACTCCATCATTTAAATGTGAATAAATCGAAACCCGCGTCGCGGTGGCCGAAAATGGTTAGTGAGCTGAATATTTCGCAATATTTCATTCGGCAAATATTTTCAAAAATGAGCTCGGTGTAAAGCCATTCAAATCCCAAGAAGTGCAAGAACTTACAGCGCAACAGAAAGAAAATAGACTCAAAAGAGCTAAACAGTTGCTTCGCTTGGTGGTAAAATTCGAAAGTGGTGAACTGCCGAATTTGGTTTTCTCCAAAGAGAAAACATGCGTTGTCTAGTAGTTTGTAAACAAACAAAATTATAATGTTTACTTGCCAAAGAGGTCAGCTGAAAATATGCACCTTCGGTTGGCCACCAGAACTGAAGCCTCAAGCCGGCCATGGTGATGGTGTGGGCCGCCATAACAGTCGTTGGTCGCTCTCCGCTCGTATTAATCGACCGTGGCATCAGAATAAATGCCGAATAATATCTCGAAAATATTCTGGGGGGTGTATTGAAGCCTTGGGCACGCTGTTTGAATGCCATAACTCGTACCAAAGGTGACCAATTCGAACAAATCTAAAATTTGATTTGATTTCTAAAATGTGATGCTAGTTCCAACATTTTTTGCCTGCATTCAATAAAATTTAAAAAAAAAAGGAAAAGTTATGGCGTTTGACTCATGTATTTGGCACTTGCTACTTGAACCCTCGATGATTCAAAATCTTAGTCAACTGCTGTTTTCCAATTGGAGTAATATACAGAAGTCGAAAAAGATGCATTCCGTCTATTTATAAAGACTGTGACCTTAGTTCATTCACAAATCCCTACAGTAAGACATTTAGAAAAATTGTAAAAGAAACGAAGAATGTCTCACTTTTTAATTTTATTTCATAAGACATCATGTATTTGCGTTTTTAAAGAATTGTTCAAAATACTATCATTTTTTAATATTATCTTTTTATAGTGGTTTTCATAATTCCTCTATTCTTTTCTCTAACCTTTTGAAAAAAAACGCACCCGTCTTTGGCAGGGATAATCTGCTGCAGACAAATTATCCAACTTAACAATGACAATCACTTAAATGGCTCAACCTTTTTTCCTTGCAGATACTGGACAGTGACGGATATTGATTATCACAATTTACGGACACCGCGTCGCATTTTTTGCATGATATTTACGGTGTGGTTTTTCGCTGTCATTGTTTCCCTGGCACCGCAGTTTGGCTGGAAGGATCCCGAGTATATGGAACGCATTGAACAACAAAAATGTATGGTTTCGCAGGATGTCATTTATCAGGTAAGTCGGGAGGGGTTGGAGTAGGAGAAATACGCGAGATGCACAATAGCTGCCATCAATAATTCATGGCGACCGAACCGTAATTTATTTTAATGACAAACTATTTGTCTAACTTATGTTCTCGGTCATGACAATTGTTTAATGGCATCCTTTTTATGTCTGTCTGCCATTTATTTTCAGATTTTCGCTACTTGTTGCTCGTTTTATGTCCCGTTATTAATGATTTTAGTTCTGTACTGGAAAATCTACAAAATAGCACGTAAACGTATTCAGCGGCGCACAAAACGTTTGCAATATTCTCAAAGTACAACAAAAGACGTGGTGAGTTCATTGACCTATTTAATTTATTAATAACCTTTGCAGGCAAGAATTTTGAGATATTTTCATTTGTGAAGTGGCTTATTGAGAAATAACTACTTATGTGACATAAAGGGAGAATTTATTTTGACACATCTTAAATTAAATGGCAACAACGACGTCGTTAATTCATTAGGTGTGACAGTTAAACACTTCAAGGACGATGGCATTGTCTGCTGTCTTTTTTACACCCCTAGCCATATCGCTAGTTATACCCTCAGTCATATGGCTAGAGACGGTATATATCATTTGATACGGTCAAAAGATTCTGCGGTTCTAGACCCTAGGTCTAGATTTCAATTTCCACACATTCCAATATTTTTATCAACGCAAGGTTTGGTGTAAAGATGAAATATATCGGTTCACTCCTTCCGGTACCTCCCGCACAAAGGTTCAAATTTTTAAAAATCCGTGAAGCTCATAAATCCCGATTTTAACATCCTATTCCATTCATACTTAACAAATGTCAATATTTCTACAAACGCAAGAGCTGCAATAAAGATGGTAGAGATCGGACCATTCCTTTTGGTACCTCCACCACAAAAGGTAGAAATTTTCAAACAAAAAAATATTTTCTGTACATAAGTAGAAGCAATTATCCGATTTTGCTCCAACTTTGCAAATCCTAATATATGCATCAGTGCTAGGTCACGTGCGAAAATGGACATTATCGGTCCACTCCATTAAGGACCTCCCCCATATTTGGTCAAAATTTAGAATAATTATAACTCTTATAAAATGTGTTTTAAGAGTCGGATTGTCTTCAAATTTCACAAATTCCAATATTTTTATAAACTCAAGATCTGGTGTTAAGATGGAATGTATCGGTCCACTCCTTGTGAGGTACCAGAAGGCTAAAAATTTTAAATATCCATGAATTTCACAAAACGCTAAATTAACATCCGATTACAATCAGACTTTTCATCAACACAAGATCTGTTATAAAGATGGTAGAGATCGGACCATTTCTTTTGTAACCTCCCCAACATAGGGTTCAATACTTTGAAAAACAAAACGCTAAGGAAGAAAGCGAAGTAAGCATCCAACTCTCTTTAAATTTCACACATCCAAATATTTTTACTAACACCTGTTGTGAAGGGCCACATTTTTCAAAAACTTTTATCTGGGATTCGATTATCAGCGATTCTTTACAACTTGCTATATCTAAATATTTCTGTCAACCAGTAGCATGATTTGAATGCGAAATTTATCAAAATTAGTGTAATTTTGCTAACATCAATATTTTTATCTGAATTAGATGGAGTATAAGAAAGGGATTACTTCGGCAGACTATATCTGGTACCTCACGCACATATTAACATTTTCTAAAAATTATCAAATATTTTATATAAAGTGATGGAATTAACCAATATAGTCCAAACCTAATGTCGTAATATTTATATCATATTTATTTAGTTTAGATTCGAAATGGACAACATTGGCCCATTCCATCGGAACCTACTTCATAGAGGGTCAAAAATTTGAATAATCTTAACAGAAGTCAAAATATATTTAAATAATCGAATATTGGTTGAGGGTGTACTTTTGTCGGCAAAACCGACTGTTTCTTTATACTCTACACCACAAGGTGGTCAGGGTATTATGTCTTTGTGCATTTGTTTGTAACAGGCAAAAGGAAAAGAGATAGACCCATAGTTCCTTTTGATGATCTGCATAGAATCACATTCTGAGTCGATTTATGCATGTCCGTCCGTCTGTCCGTCCGTCTGTCCATGTATTCTTGTGAACAAAATGCAGGTCGCATTTATTATCCGATTGAAATGAAATTTTCCAAACAACATTTGTTTGGCCCAAGGACGAACTCTATGGAAATTGGAGAAAATCGCTAAAAAATTTAGATATAGCTCTCATATATATCTTCTTCCGATTTGCATTTTATTGTGCACCAAACGTGTAGTATCAGCCCGCATAGTATGGAATTTTGCACATACAACCAAATTAGGCCTGACAATAAGTATGCCGAATTTGATCAAAATCGGTTCAGATATAGCTATAGCTTCCATATATACTGTTCATCCGAATTGTTATTTTTGTCCTCCGCAGCCGTAAAATGCACTCTGTAACAACAATATTTAGGGAAATATATCAAATCCACCTCAGAAATACCTTTGCTAAATTTTATTGCGATCGGTTAAGATTTGGATATAGCTCCCATATATAACTTCGTCGATTTACCTTTTATTGTGCATCAAACGTCTATTATTTGCACAAATAGGATGAAATTCAGCACTTACGACCGAATTGAGTCTAGAAGGTAGTATGCCAAATTTGGTGAAGATCGGTTCAGATATAGCTATAGCTCCCATATATATTGCTCATCCGATTTGTTGTATTTGTTACCCACAGCCGTAATATGCACTCCGTAACAACGATATTTGGGGAAATATATCAAATGCAGCTCAGAAATATCTTTGCCAAATTTTATCGAGATCGGATAAGATTTGGATATAGCTCCCATATATAACTTCGTCCGACTTACATTTTATTGTGCACCAAACGTCTAATATTTGCCCAAATGGGATGGAATTTGGCACATACGACCAAATTGAGTCTAGAAGGTAGTATGCCAAATTTGGTGAAGATCGGTTCAGATATAGCTATAGCTCCCATATATATTGTTCATCCAATTTGTTGTATTTGTTACCCACAGCCGTAATATGCACTCCGTAACAACGATATTCAGGGAAATATATCAAATACAGGTCAGAAATATCTTTGCCAAATTTTATCGAGATCGGTTCAGATTTGGATATAGCTCCCATATATAACTTCGTCCGACTTACATTTTATTGTGCACCAAACGTCTAATTTTTGCCCAAATGGGATGGAATTTGGCACATACTACCAAATATTCAGATATTCAGGGAAATATATCAAATACAGCTCAGAAATTGCCAAATTTTATCGAGATCGGACCAGATTTGGATATAGCTCCCATATATATCTTTATCTGATTTCAAATTTATTTTGCACAAATGGGCAATACAAGTCCGAATTTAAAAGATACAAATGCTTCGGCATATTTACTCCTTTGAACTTTAAATTACAATTATAATCATAGCGTGCATGATTAAATTCTCCCATAAAATCTTTTAATTGTTATTTGGAGCTCTAAGTGGTGTAGGGTATCATAAAGTCGGCCCCGCTCGACTTTAGGACTTTCTTTACTGTTTTTTTTTTTCTTTTTATTTGGTAAAGAGCTTATAACATAGTTTCAGAAGCAAGTCCAAGTAATTGTCGAGAAAATTCAAAATGTTTCGAAATTCAAATGTCTAATGGAACTTTCTGAAAGTAAAACAAAACAAAAAAAAAGCTTTTTGTTTGACCTTTGCTTGGTTATATTGGCAGGTATCAAGTTTGATCTAAATGATGGGCACCGTTTATTCATTCTCTATTTTGCGTAATAAATTTTCGACCTTCTTAGACGCTCGACAGTATATCCCTCAGTCGATATAGCTGCCACCTTACACTCTTCGACTAGAGTCTTCCCTATTCAACAAATAAATCCATTTTAAGGGTTCGAGTTTTTTATAGCGTTTCGTAACGTGGTTTTCTAATCAACATCTTCATTGGAAACAACTAAACATTATGAAACAAGAAGAGTAGATTTCTCTCTTCTCCGGAAGTGTAAATTAGATGTTTTATAGAATGAAATAGTAAATTTCAATCATGATTCACTAATTTTCGATATTTTAAAATCTTGACCTTTAGTTCAGTTTTCGAGTTTTTTGTTTACGTAGTAAAATATTAAATACACAAAACCACTTTTTGCATATACAGTCAAGTCTTATTTTTCAGATATGTCTTAAACTTCATCGCAAAGCAAATATTAAGTGACACCAGAACCATACTGGCCACACCCCAAAAATGTTATTAAAAATAATTGCTAAGTAGAATAGCATTACGAAAATTAATAAAATCGAGTAAAACTGTTTTACAGTAATAGACAATTTAACCAGCCTTCCCATTTCAACAAAATGTTATTGACCCCATTAATTCCCCATAAAAATTCCATTGTACAAACCCTCGAAACTGTAAATGATTTATGTGTGGCAAACGTATTAATTAATGTTAATGCCTGTGTCAATAGGAATAAAATAAGGAAAGCCAAATATATTGGATTTTGACATGACTGACAGGCCGATAACATATTTTGAAAATTGATAAGATAACATGGCCAGCCAACCAGTTAATGAAAAATATTTTTCATATTCGCTTTGGAGTGAAAATATTGTAGAACATAACAGACGATTCTGCCCACAGCTTTCTCTTAGTTTATTCTGTGATATACATAGATACCAAGTTAAAACCAAATCAATTGCATAATGGAGCCAAGACTTTCGAAATAACTAAAATCAAGGTTTATTTTATATTAGGGTTCTTTTAAAAAGTTGAAACATGACAAAAATTTAAAAATGAGGGGAAGGTTGCTGTTGTGTAGATATGATCAAATGTTCTAATGTCTCAAAGCTGAATTTGTATAGCCTACACCACAAAGTGGTAAGGGTATTATCTCTTTGTGCATTTATTTGTAACAGGGAGAAAGAACTGAGATAGTCCCATAGTTACTTTTGAGAATCGAAATAGAATCACTTTCTGAGTCGATTTATGCATGTCAGCCCGTCTATCCGTCCGTCTGTCTGTCCATGTATTTTTTGAACAAAATACAGGTCTTATTTATTATCCGATGGAGATGACAATTTCCAAACATTATTTGTTTGGCCCAATCACAAACCCTATTGGAATTGGTTATAATCGGATCAGATTTAAATATAGCTCCCATATATCTTCAACCGATATCGGGTTAGTTGTGCATCAAATGGCCAATATCAGTGCAAATGACCTGTATTTTGGTATATCCCACCGAATTCAGTTTAGAAGTAGACACAGAAAATCGGTTTAGATATAGCTATAGCTTCCAAATATATGTTTCATCCGATTTG